CCAACAGTTTTTCTTCATCCGTGCTTGGGAGAATGGACGCCGCTGGGCTGAAATTCTGACAGACCATGGTATTCAATCCATAGAACTTTCAAGTTTCTTGGATATGTGCAGAGATCCCAAATTGCTGGGTTGGAACTTTGGTATTCCAGAACCTCAGTGGGATAATTTTGGCAACACAGTGGAGGAAGCATTCAACAATCCCTTATTTGCCAAATTGCACTATCGCTTCAAGCAGGAGGAAGAGATTGGTCGTGTCATGCGCCTTGTGTCTGAACTTGTTTGTGACTTTTTCATCAAGGTGCTTCCCAAGTGGGTTCTTGACCACTCGATCTTGTGGGAAGAGTTTATGATTTTGGATCCAGACACAAATCTCCCAGCCTACAAGACTTCAGAGGCCGCCTTACAAGCAGAAGTGAATCCAGAGAAGTATCATACACATTTTGCTATGAACTTCAAGAAATTCAGGTTTTCTGCAAGAGTGGTGTGGTATTTGATTGACCGTGACAGGAATCATTTAGAGAGTTTTCTTCACAACTCCAACAGCAGATTTGTGCAACATGCATGCTATCAACTTCGTGAATATGTTCAAGCGTGTGTTGCAGTTTCTGATCCCTTGTATGAGATGATCAAGAAGGAAGAGTTTGAACGCCAATACAATTCCAAGTTTTTGGAGGCGATTTCTTGCTCTCGTGTTGTAGTTGAGCCTGTAAGTTCAGGGACGTATGAGCCATCATCGAAGCTGAACTTAAAGGTACTACAAAACATTCTGAAGGGTGTTTACAAGATCCAGAAGAATGAGGAGCTTGCCAGAGAACGTGAGGAAGAAGAAGAACAGGCAGCTCAAAACATCTCAAACTTGTTAGCAGATGATATGGAGCTTGATTTTGATGATGACGACGTACCAGTATGGCGCTCCATTGTCAACAAGTATAGAGAAGGTGATCAGGTGCTACAGAGAGAAGCAGTGAAGATTACTCATCTTTTCAAGGACAAAAAGGACAATGAGAAGGCAACAGAAGTTTTCAGTTCAGAGAGGACAGATTTTCATGAGACCTCAGAACCTCTTCCAAGGACCATGGGAGAAAATCTTGTAGAGGACTTGCTCACCAAGAATGTCGCAGAACAAGCTTTTGAGGCAGGTGAAGAAGTTCCTCCTTACACAAGAGTCTCCACTATCGCTGGTGGAATCTACACTGGCAGTCTGATGTTGACGAAAGATGAAGATATGGAAGAGGAAGTTCCTGAAGAAGATCCTGCAGTTGAACCTGAGAAAGATGAAGAAATGTTTGATGAGAATGCAGGTACTTTTCCTTCAGAGGGACCAAAGATGGAAGTTGACCAGGAGGAAGCCAAGGAGGAGTCAACACCACACTTTCTGTCAAGAGAGATAGGTGAGGACTCAGCTGCATCGTACTTACCATCAGGTGAGAAGGATGCTAACCTTGAGGATACTTCAGGTCAGCGGAAATCTAAGAGAAGCCGCCTGAATAAAATTCCTGATCCTCATTTTCATGAAGAAGTTCAGGATGATGCAACTATTGAGGAGAAGAAGAAGGCGGTGAAGAAGATAAGAGAGGTCAGAGAGGATGATGGAGAGAAGAAATTGGAGGCTGAAATCCAAGAGTCTTTTCCATCTGAAGTAGTTGTTGATAAAGATCCTGTGGGTGCTGACAATACCTATGAGTTGCATACCTCACCTTTGAGGTTGCTTGGAGAGATTACCAATGATCCAGGCATTGGCTTTTATCAACTATGCTTCAGGGAAACTCACGCAAGATTGCTGAACCATGTTTGTTTCAGAAAAGGTGAGATTTCCCATCCTCATTATCAGTCGAGGATCAACGAGGATGATTTTGTTCGATCCATTCGAAATGTCTGTCCAGTACCTCCACCTGATTGTTATGAACACGACTCAGAGCATGATTTGAAGAGGTTTTTCATCAATGATGACCGCATCAGTTATTTGGATGGCAAGTATAAGGTCGATCCAAAGTCTTTTGAAAGGGCAGAGCATGCTCGAGAAGAATTGGAGGATACGAAAAAGGAACTTAAGAAGGAACTGGAATCATATGGTCCCAATGGACCCAGTTGGGATTTTGTCACCTTCTATGAAGAGCTGTGCAGAAGGTTCCTCAAGGGAAGAATAGAAGAACAATATGGAACCAACTTATCGGCCAGCTCAGAGTCCTTGACGTTTTTATCCTGGAATTATGGCAACATGGTTCGTGGTCAGAAGTACACCACACCAAGGTTTCTCCAAGGACTTGATAGTGCAATGAGGCCACGCAAACAGAGCGCCATGTCACTTCAATACGAGCAATTTGAGAACAACCTTTTCTTCAATATGCTCTTCTTTTTACGTGCACACGTCGTGATTCTCCAGGAAGCTCATCTCCTTGTTCCTGCCAAGGAATTCATTGAGCAAAAGAATTGGACAGTTTGTTTCAATGATTGGAAGAATCTTGCAGTGATGGCTAGATTGGCACCAGGTGGATATGTCAAGATCATTGCTGGACATGACCAAGACCTTGGTCATTGTGAACAGCGTGATGTAACTTGGGCTATCTACGAGATTTGTTTTGGAAAAACAAGGCCTCGTCAAGAATTCAAGGATGCAGACTTTGAATTTGATGACTATGGTCCTGAGGACCAGCGTGTTCCACTTACAAGAGCGAACATGCATACCATCAGAGTCTGTAATTATCATGTTGATACACACCGTGCTGTGGATGCCCACCTACTGACAGGAGAACAGACAGCATTGATGCTTTATGAGTGTTTTGTCTTTGAGGTGGACATCATTTCTGGTGATGCAAATAGTTTAGCCTACAGAATGTCTGGGTACAAAAGGCAGCCAATGGCTAACTATTATTACAGCACCATGCAGCATTGGATCCGCAGGTTTTCAGAAGCCCGTGTAAAAGCAGATCCTGGTATCAAAGCACCTATTCCCAGAACATTTTACAGTTCAACTTCACTTGTTCTAAAGCAGTGTGAAGATTACTTTGATAAACTCTGGGAAGAATACTCCACAATAGAGAAAGAAGAATACCAGGGATCACAGCTGACGAGGACAGTCATGGTCCAATGTTTATTTCACTCAGACCAGCTTCCTCTTCATTTGGAGACAGAAGACAGTATCGCATGGGAGCAACGCTTCATGAGGCGAAACTGCGGAGGAAGGAGAGACAGAAAGAGAATAAAAGGAAAGGAAGGCCGCCAACTTCTGATCAAGCAGCTTCATCGACTGCAGCGGCATGAAAACTCAGAGCGGAAGCTAACTTTTAATGATGGCTAGGAAGTGAAGATACTTCTGATCACAGTTGATACTTTGCTTCCAGGCTTGACTTTAAGTTGCCAGGCTGAAGTTTTAATGAATTCTGGTTTGCAATGAGGAGAAACTTTTTGTCAAGGAAGATACTCCTGCATTCCAGGTTTATACGCTTTAGCATGCAGATAAATACAGTTTACTAAACGGTTATTATCTGCAGGTAGGTATGGACAGTTTTTCAGAACTGATGATAACTACCACAGCCGCTCTTTTGAGGTGACCTCTAATGGACAACCATTCATGGTTGATGATTAAGTCATTTCATAAGTTTGCATTTGTAGTGCAAGTTTTGTACATACATTTGCCGGTGTCTCCTTCCTTGTGTTTTTGATGTAAATGAGAAAGAGTCCTTTTGATGCAGTTCCATTTTTATTTAAGTTCTGTGTATGGAAGCGGCCGAGACCACTTTTAGAGAAGAACATTCCTCGGACCGAGAGTTGACGCTCCTTGCATTTTGCAAGGCATCTTAATTCATTGCAATTTGTGCGGTCTTGAATTTTTAGTTCTTCGTTACGCGAGTGTCGTTTACTGCTTTTACAGGTCTCTGTGTAAGAAAGCCGCTTTCCCTTGAATTTAAGTTTCTTTGAAGCTCTGGCTATTTAAGGGCTATTGAGCGCCGGTACACGGTATCTTCGCCGGTGAACAATACAGTCTCCAGCCGAGATACATTGTCTCTGACTTTGTATTTGAGGTGAGTCAGCTATTGCTCCCTCACTGTATTTAGTAAACCTAGAGATTACCTTTTCAAAAGTGTGAAACACACTGAAATTGGTAAGTACAGGGCACCGTGGTTTCCTTTTAAGCGTAATAGAGCTTGCTGGACTGTTTTAGCCTTGCGGTAGAAAATAGTATGCGACATACGCAATAGGCAGGAGTGGACATGAATTTTGTGCCTGCTGAAAGGTAGAGCCTACTTGTACAGGTTCCACTCCAGTGGCCTATCTAGTGTGTCCATGCTTGACTGCCATAAGGCTCAAGAGATATAGGATAAGACTCTGCGTGAGCAAAAGACACTAGCGGTCTGCACCTCTACCGTGTACGCCCTAGTCACTCTTTCACCCTCCTCCCCTCTCCCCTCTCCCCACCCCACCTCCCCTCTCCTCCTCCTTCACTTTCGCCTCCGTCCTGTCGTCGCTCTTTGGCATGCGGTTAGCGTTGCGTATCTTGCGGCCGCACTCGCTCACTCTCACTCTCACTGTCTCACTGTCTCACTGTCTCACTGTCTCTCTCTCTCTCTCATCTCTCTCATCTCTCTCATCTCTCTCATCTCTCTCATCTCTTTCTCATCTCTCTCATCTCTCTCTCCTCTCTCTCTCTCTCTCTCCTCTCTGTCTCTCGTCTTTCCGTCTCTCTTCTCTCCCTTCTCTCGCAGGAGGATCCGGGCAAAGAGCCACATATAAAGGACTCTTCACCCCTGCCTCCAAAAAGAGCGCCGTGTTTTTTCCTACCTCGCTGCCCTCCACTTTCCCATTCTGGAGCGCTAGCTTTCGCCCCCCCCTTGGCCTCAAGTTCTAATTAAGTTCTAATTTACAATTTTTCTAATTCTATGGACTTCTTGTTTCTAATAGCTTCTTGTTACTAATAGTAAGGCCAGGAGGCCCTAGTAGCGTCCTTGCTCAAGGACGAAAGATGAAATCAAGACGAAAACTAGTAACGTCCTTGCTCCTAGGTCTTTGATTCCAGCACGGGCCCCAAGCTGGTTCTCGCAGTGATGCGACCGTGACCACTAGCTCAGTGTCAGATTCTGTGGAGTGCCAACATCGGGAGCATTTCACGGTCAGTGTGATTCTTGATTCATTTCGAACTGGTACCACATACCCTGTACCACAGGGTGGAGGCCATCGCTCTTAGGTCGGAGGCCCTTGCTATTAGGTTCCTTTTGGTATTAGGTTGGAGGCCATAGACCATAGATGCTCGGCTCGTCGGCTGTGCCCCAAAAGAGCACACACCGGCACGACAACAAACAAGTGACGTGAGGCCCCCCACCAGTACTGGTGCGGTGCAGTTTTCCAAATAGACTTACACATAGTCTGTAACCCACTCCTCAGTCTTGATTAACCTGAGGTCCCATGGAGAAAATCGGCACCTCGTTCTTTGACATCGGTGAGGACGAGGAAGCCACCTTCAAGGTGATCCAAAGTTGCTTCCGTTTGTTGAATGGCAGGGGAGAACCAATAACCGGTCTCAGGACGATGTGAGAGCGCATTGAATGGGTGGGTTTGGGATTTTGCTCTTCCCTCAACAGAAATAGCTTGTATCCATTGAGGTTGGTACTGGTCCAGCCCAAAAGAAGAGTAGCCGTGCCATTGCATGAGAGAAATTTTGGAGGAGGCCATTAGGTTGGAGGCCATCGCTTCTAGGTTGGAAGGCTGGCAGAGCGGCCTTTAGAACATGTATCACGGTGCTCTCAATGTAGTTGCCTCAGGGGCCTCACGGGTCCTCCAGCTCTCAAGCAGGCGGGTGCCGGATTGCGAAGCGGATGGGGTCACCGTGTCACAGAAGTGTCAGAGAAGGAGCATCCGTGAGTTTCACAGGAAGGTTTCACAGGTCGGTTTCGCTGGTGATTTCATCATCGCTTTCTTTTGCTCCACACAGCGGCCTTTTAGCCCGGTCTGGAAGATCTCCCATTTTGACCCTTTCCCAAGCTGCAATAAGGTGCCGTGAGATAGGCCATTGCTATCAGGTTGGTATTAACAGTCTCGCTCTTGCCCTTTGAAAGCTGCGCAGGGGCACGCAGAGAGGCCGGTGCGAACATTCTTGCGACACGTCTTTCAGTTCAAGCGCTTGTTCACCTGTTGTAAACAAGTCTTGAAGCCAACAGTGACATTGTCACATGTTTTCCGTAAATTCCCATCTAGGTTTCGAAGTACTGTCAACTTTTTATGTCATGTTTAGATACCAAAAAGCACAGAGTTCATATGATAATCAGATTGTCTTTTTGTATTTTTCCGCATCGGAACAACATATATACTGTAGATACCGATGTTTTTGAACCTCGGCAAGCCCAGAGCCACATTCATAAACAATCATAAACGGAGGTTTTGGCATTAGGAGCCAAGTACCATGATTTTTACAGTGTCTCTTACATGTTTTCTGCCCAAAACACCGGTGTTTCCGCAGTTTGTGCACGTTGCTCGCTGCGTCTATCGTTTCTCAAAAATGGCAGACAAACACTGTCAGTTAGGATGTTTTTACTACCTGAGCGTCACAAGCATTGCTCCAAAATCGACATGAGCAGCTTATGAGCGGATCCGTTTTCCAATCGCTCAGCCCAAGTTGTAACACTTGCGCACGACACCTGGTGTCTCAAGTTGCAAGCGTGCGGGCCAAGTTGAGAAACATTTTCAGATGTGCAACCTACTAGAGATGGCCTTCAACCTAAGACCGATGGCCTCCAACCTAAGAGCGATGGCCTCCAACCTGAGAGCTTATAGGGATATTCTTTTTGGATGTGTCTAGCTTTCCTGGAAATCCTTTGCTGCGCAATCTGATCCATCTCTTTCCAGATAGCTGAAAGCCCAGAAACAGGCCAATTCACTTTGCCGCCCAAGGCAGGCAAACTGTCTTTTGTGTACGGGTTACCCGGCTCCGTGTTATCATCGCAACGGGTGAAAGGCAGCATTGAGGCCCTACCAGGTGGTACCTACCAGGTACAAACTAGACAGTCTTCAACCTGCCCGGGCCTGTTCACGTGCCCCAACCTGCCCTGTGTTCTGCACGGAAACTGCGTCCCCAAGCCCCGTGTTTCTCATACTTACGCCTGGCCACACCCTCAACCCCATCATATGCACGCAAACTGGATTGCCAAGCCCCCTGCTCTGCCAAGTATCACTTTCTGTACCGCTCCAAAGTCTATAGATTTCTCCATGCCCACGGCTCAGCACTGTTGATGTCGGAAAAACACGACGGCAACAAAAATAAGACACTTGTTACTAGTAGTAATACCCTCTTGTTACTAGTAGCTTCTTGCTACTAGTAATGCCCTTAGCTACTAGATGCTACTAGTAGCTTCTTGTTACTGCAACAAGAACATCGTCTTCACCTTGGATCAACACGACCACGTTTCGGTGACTTCTCTGACACGCTCTCCCGGCTGGAGTCGGCGGAGATCGGGAGCGGTGGGCGAGTGGTGGAAGACTGAAGACCTTACAGTCAAGTACTTGACATGGCAGGACCATGGAGCGTCAGGTTGACATGGGAAGATACGTAACTCCTGCCAGACACCTCGCGATTTTCCGCAAAGACACATCGGCCAGGTTTCTGAGAGCGAGAACATCTTGGAACTCTGAAGGCGCCTCCGACCAGCAGCCATGGACACAGAAAACCCCGACCAGCAGCTGGTAAGAGCCTCTTCTTCAGTTTTCGTGTGAACACTGAGACTCTTAACACACACTCACAGACACACAAAAGCAGGAAGACATACTTTTCCGAACACCCAATGGTGAACGGGAGTGCATCTCGGTCTGCTGATGGCTGACTCTGAGTAGTTGGGAATTCGCTGCAATTTGAAAAGGTGATTCGCATTTTCACCAGGATCTCCCCAAGTTTTTGGCCTGTCACAAGACTATTGCATTCTTGGTTTGCAATTCTGTATCCCGCAAGCTTGTGCAGGAACACTTGCATTTTGGACAATAAACCTTTCGATATAAATTTATGATGTGTCCAAAGACAAGTTTCCCTAATGTTCTTTGCTGCGCGGTCTGTGAATTAAAGCTTGGACCCTAAGTTGTACAGTTGCAGCAGCCATGAGCGGCATTTTGTTGATGAATAGTAAGATAGCATTATTTGTTTGGTGTGAAACTACCCCAAAATTGAACCATTCTCAAATAGAGCCAGTGAATTTGAACTCAGACCCCTGAAAAAGAGGACACGACCTACAGCGCACCGCCAGCAAAACACATGTGACGTGACCGTGTTCACGTCGATCCCATCGTCCGGTCGCGTTCGCGAGGTCACACCTCGGCAAACAGTGGTGAAGCGCGCCACGGTGAGGTGGACGGAAGAAGCGCAAAGAGGCTTCGCAAAAAGACATAGCTGAAGCGCAAAGAGAAGAAATGGTAATGAGAACCTCACAAGCCTCATAAGTACAACTTCGTGCCTGCCTGGGATTCAGAAGCGATCTGGAATCGTTTGCATTGGATCACTGTTTTGGCCACGGCGATCAGCAAGAGGTGGCCGATCCTTTGAACCGCTCAGAGCAGCAACGTGCGCATGGATTGAATATGCCTCCAAGTTACTAGTAGCTTCTTGTTCCTAGTAGTAAGGCCAGGAGCTACTAGTAGCGTCCTTGTTCCTAGTAGCGATGCCCTTGCTACTAGTAGCGATGCCCTATTGACTATGGATGAATTCTGATGCCTTGCTCTTTTTGTTGGGCTCAAGGAGCAAACTTTTTGCCCTGCACTCGAGGGTGGCTCACGGAAGTGACCAAATATTTGGAGAAACTCATGTTTCAACACTTGCAATTTTCGTCGAGCCGGGAGCCCTGAAGTTTCGTCGCCATGTTGAGCACCAAGCGATGCATTGAGCAGCGCATCATCAAGAGGCTGGCTCATGGCTGATGACGTCATGATTAATATTTACCAGGCTACCGCCTGCAGCCGCCGACCCCCAAGGGATAGAACCTTAGCGCTAGCCTTGCTCCAGGCAGAGAGGTGGGGTGAGGCGTGACAGTGCCTTAACCTTAGCCTAGCCTTAGCCTTAGACTTAGCCTTAGCCTTAGACCGCCCCTACCCCTCCGGACCCGGGTAGGAGTTCCCCTATTTTCTTCCATGGTTGTAGAATTATCTAGCATTTCCTCTTGCATTTAGGCTCCCTGATTTGCCCAAAAATTGATTAACTTATTATTTTTAACCTATTCGATTCTAGTGTTCCCGGCCAATGCCCTGGAATTTTCCTAGGAATGCTCTAGGCTTTGTTTAGATTTTGCGCTGGACGAGGTCCGGCCAGTGCCCGTGGTAACGTGAAAGGCTCTGGTAAGATTTTCGCATGCCTGTCAGGCGCCCGTGTCCGCGCCATGTGGCGTGTTGGTTCTAGGACGGAGCAGCGCAAACGGAAGCTTGGGCAGGTGGTGGCGAGGTTCTCGCGCTAGCGAGGGAAGAGACCGTAGCCATGTACATGCGGGCGGCACGCGCGCGTGGCGGAATGTCTGCAGTGCGGTAGGCCGGGGGGGACGGAAGGGTGTGGAAGCGGGTGGTTCCACGGTGGGAGGAAGGACGTTGCCCTGGATGTGGGGAGGGTAGGGTTTCCTGGAGCACCCCTGGAGCAAAATGCAGGATCACCCAAGTCGTCGGGTGAGAGGCAGCCGGTGTCTGTGTTATGCGTTTCCTGGGGGTGAAGGGCGCTGCCCATGGTGTTCGCTAGGTCGCTTCAGCCAGCGAGGGCGTTGCCCATGTATGTCCCCTTATGCAGGCCACGGAAAACTGCTCGGTGTAGTGGTCGTGGGCGGAAAACGCCGGCGCGCAGTGCTTTGGCAGGTTGGCGGAAGCCGACGGCTGCCGGAGCTGGACGAGGCGCGCAAGGGATGTGTAGTCCCGTGCTCGCGCGACGCAGTCGCCAAAGGGAACACCTGCGAGACAAAAGGCCACGGAAGGGAGCTGCTGGGCCAGCCGTGCGTGGGTGGACCGCGGTATTTTTTCCCAGATTGACCATCGGACGTCATCTCTTGCATGAACCCCGTGATGCGGAGCCCTCCTCCCCATAAAGGATATCATTGCCCAAGAATTTAGACCCAACCCTTCACCACCAAAGCAGGTACCCAAAAAGTCGACTTTTTGGGTACCTCCCAGGTTTACCATCGGACGTCATCTCTTGCATGAACCCCGTAATGCTGAACCCTCCTCCCCATAAAGGATATCATTGCCCAAGAATTTAGACCCAACCCAGCACCACCAAAGCAGGTACCCACCCATCACCACCAAAGCAGGTACCCAAAAAGTCGACTTTTTGGGTACCTCCCAGATTTACCATCGGACGTCATCGCTTGCATGAACCCCGTGATGCTGAACCCTTCTCCCCATAAAGGATATCATTGCCTAAGAGTTCAGACCCATCACCACCACAACTTTTTGGGTACCTCCCAGATTTACCATACGTGATCTCTTGCATGAACCCTGTGGTGATGATGATGCGTTCCTCACCGACGAGTCCGCGTCTATATCCTGCTGTCCAGGCACACTCTATCGCCGAGGACCCCTCGCAGGCCAAACTGCAAAGGTGGGTTCCACGATAGAGGACTGTCTCTGTTTTTTTCAAAAGTCGACTTTTTGGGTACCTCCCAGGTTTACCATCGGACGTCGTCTCTTGCATGAACCCCGTAATGCTGAAGCCCAAGAGTCTAGACCCAACCCAGCACTACCAAAGCAGGTACCCAAAAAGTCGACTTTTTGGGTACCTCCCAGATTTACCATCGGACGTCAGCTCTTGCATGAACCCCGTGACGCGTTGGGTTCTGCGGCCTGTGGGAACGCAGGGCGCTGCCCATGGTCTAGGGTACATTCAAATGCCACACGTATCGGCGCCCGGACTTGTGCTGAATCGATCGGTTTCTCCCGGCGACCCAACCCATTATCACCAAGGCATCCCTTTGCCAAGGGTTCCAAAGCGGGTCCCACAAAGGCGGGCACTGATAAGACCCGAGAAGGTACCCACAATCACCACGGCCACGTTCTGTGACACATCCGTTCCTCTGGACACCACAGTTGTTTTGAAGCCACTATAGGTTGCTCACATGTCATGGTAGCACCCGCTTCGCAGTCTGTGCGTTGTCGTCTGTTTCCCCTAGCGAAGCCTAGAGCATTCCTAGGAAAATGCTAGAAAAGCCTTTGAAAGTTCCATAGGTTAGCAAAAGGTTACCAATTTTTGGGAGAAATCTGGAAAGGTTACCAATTTTTGGGAGAAATCTGGGAACCTAAAAACAAGAGGAAGCGCTAGAAAATTCTTGGAAAAGCATCCAGCCGAATACATAACAAAATCTAGACAAAGCCGAGAGCATTCCTAGGAAAATGCTAGAAAAGCCTTTGAAAATCTCATAAACCAACAGAAAACGTGACAAAATCTACGAAAAAGCAAGGGCATTGGCCGGGACCACGCCGCGACCAGCCCGGGATTCGAGCCCAGGACCATTTTGGACCGTGCTTATTTTCCCGCGCGGGTCGAGAGGGTGCCCCAAGATGTAAATCAATTGGGATGGCAGAATCTTGGACAATCCAGGTCACCATCAGGCCGCTTTCAGGTCGCAATCCCGTCAAATCTCGTAGCTTTTAGGTCGGGATTTCGTCACTGCAACAAAGGTCCGGAGGGGTAGGGGAGGTAAGGTCTAAGGCTAAGGCTACGTCTAATCCTAAGGCTAAGGCTAAGGCTGAGGCTAAGGCTTAAGTCTAAGGCTAAGGCTAAGGCTAAGGATTAAGGCTAAGGCTTAAGGCTAAGGCTAACATCGACAGTCACGCCTCACCCCACGGTGTGGGGTCGGCGGATTCGATTCAAGAGTAAATAGTAGTTTTGATGTTTTGGGACGATGAGTACCTTCGCACAAACGTCTGGGGTCAAACTGATTTTGTTCAACTCAGATGTTTGGAAGCACTTTGTCTGGGCCAGGCGGGAACAAGAGGCCAAGACGGCCGAATTGAAGCAGCGGCTGGTGGAAAACAACATCTATGCAGGTGCAAGTGCAGGGTCTGTCTCAAAAAAGAGATTTGCAAGCACCTGAATCTAACCATATTGAGAGAGACCCCTTGGTGGGACTCTTGGCTTTGGGACGTCATTTGCTCAACTTGACATTGCCAGGCTACGGGAAGAGTGAGCTGAACGTCGAGAAGAAGCGGCGTGCACTCTCAGAAGGTGCTGAACGACGAGAACTCCTCACAGACTACAGTGGTCGTCTCAGCCGTGCGGTTGACGCGGTGCGTAACTCCAATCTCAGCTTCTAGCTACTAGTAACAAATGGCATCGCTACTGGGAGCAAGGACGCTACTAGGGGCTCCTGGCCTTACTACTAAGAGCAAGAAGCTACTAGTAACAAGGGCGTTACTACTAGTAACAAGAAGCTACTAGTAGCGATGCACTTGTTAGTAGTTGCTTCTGTGTCACACATCCTGCTGGGACAAGCCTCTGTGAAGAAACATTTTTCTGCCTGTGCACAGCAACAGGCATGACCGTGGATCTTGATCTAGCTCTGAGGCTATGTGAAGTCTGAGCAAGATAAAATACGGCGAGCTCAGATTTCCATGTTGGAGGAACAGCAGCTTGGTGCAAGTAAGTGTCATCCGAAAGTGGGTTGATCCTCCATTTCGTTGGAGGGGTGGACATCAGAACAAGGGCCAATCCAAGCATTTGCATTGCACACAACAAGCAAAGATTTGTGCCAGGCTGGAGGTGTGACCGCTCTCTCCTGAGGTTGGCAGATGAGTTGTCCAAAAGGAAAGCAGAGACCATGCGACATGAGCCGCCTGGCAGAACAGTGCCGTCGCAGAAGGAACAAGCAAGATTGCTGTGAGCATTTGGATGTATCTTTAAATAGTCAGACTTTGAACAGCACCGATTAAACTTGTTGGTCATGGTGTCCCCCCATTTTTAGAGAACCATGACGAGCACATTCAGTGACACTCAGATTGATTCTAAAGGGTTTGGGATACGTTGTGTTGTGAAGTGAAGGACTTGGCCGGACTATTGTCTTGTGAGCGGGACCCAGTTCCCCTTCTGGTCCATCGCCTACTCTAGTCTTGTTTCTCATCAACACCTCAAAGTTCTGGTCTTTGAGACATCGGATGCAAAGAGCTTGTACCCCGTGCTTTCTCTGCCGATCTTCCACCAAGTTCAATTAGATGTTTGTGCTTTCCTAAGAGATATCATACCGAAAGCAGCAACTCCCAAGATGAGAGGATGACCAAGACGGTCCCGTCAGACCTGTCAGGCAAGAACTCACAAATCGAAGGACTCCGGACCAGTTCGAAGGAAGAACCGATGAACAACTCAAGTCGGTGCAAAGGAAAGCGCTGCACAGTGCAAACACTGCAAGCACAGTGCAAGACCATGGACCATGGAGGCATCGACCAGGTCTGGAGGCATTGACTTCAGAATGGTCAACATTTATTGATGTTTTCCTCCGGACCCTGAGGATTTCAATACACCAGGCTTCGAACCTACTAGCGATGGCCTCCAACCTAGAAGCGATGGCACTAGCGATGGCCTCCAACCTAATAGCGATGACCTCCAACCTACTAGCGATGCCTGAGGATTTCAATACATTTCAATACTTTTTGCTTCATTCTCACTATACAGTTCGACTTCGTTCACATGTTGGATGATCGCAATGATCACCAATGCAATGGGTGCCCTGGAAGGCCTCCCAAATCAAAAGCATGTCAGCTTCAGCTACATGGGTTGTCCTTGCTTTAGCAAGAATGTATTACAATCTAAAGTTGGGATTGTGCATTGAGTTTGGTTCTCCTTTTCCCTTCCCGCCCATTTGCTACCTTTCGTTCACCCGGTCCTATCTCAAGTCTTTCCTGTCCGGGGAAACCGCCATGTAGGGCAAACCACACGGACACGGCGTTTTGACGGCTCGCCGTGCTGCATGGCGATCCCCGGACCCTTCCCGACGAGGATGGACCGGCGGCGCATTTGCGATGGCTCTGAAGAGCTGAGAGCCCTGAAAGAGCGACTGCACATGGCCAAAGTGAACAAGGAAGAGTGGGACGTCGACGTGCGACATCAGACGACGTGGGGACGTGAACATCCTAAAAAAAGATAGCAAAACGAGTTCTGTTCACACCCAGCGACGGGTTTGAACTTTTTGTGTTTGAAGAATCACCCTATAGGTTGGAACAAAGTGATATGCTGCGTCAACAAGACTGAGAGTCAAACCACAAAAAGAAAAGGCTTTGTGGCAAACAACCTTTACTGGCTGAGATTTGATTCCTTCTGCTTGTAGAGGATGGTTGGGGAGCTCGAACAAAATTCGGGACCGTGATCGTTGGGGACGCCCTCCGTGATGGAACACAATGTGTTCGCCGAAAAATACTCGGCGGCGTTTTCCCATCATCGTTCCTGGCCGTATCCAAAGACATCCTGGCAAGGAGCGTGCGCAGCAGTTGCTGGAGATAGAAGCCCTTATCTCAGAAGTGTTTGCCGGTCTTGTTCCTGCGATGGCCATCGCTACTAGGGTGGAGGCCATCGAGTTGTTTCTTTCGATCCTCGTGAGACTCATGGGACTAGTAGCGTCCGATCGCTCCTAGTAGCGATGCCCTTGTTACTAGTAGCTTCTTGCTCCTAGTAGCGATGCCAGGAGCCCCTAGTAGCGTCCTTGCTCCCAGGTGTTTCTCAATTGGCACTGTGAGTTGTTTCTCCCATCAAGGTCCGGAAGGAGAAGCATCGTTTGGCCGATCACTCGTTAGCTGAGCACATGGAAAATGAGCGCTTGGAGCAGCAGGACGAAAGCCATGGCGATGGAAAGTGCCCACATACTTGTCAATGTGGCTATGGCATGGCTCTAGTGCTAGGACACACCCAACAGGTTGAAGTGCTCCTGATACCAACCCTAAACACAGTTGTAAGTTGAGGAAATAAGGTTGGATGATACACGCTATGGATACCAACCCTGGTTCTTGTTGTGTCATTTGATTAATCCACGCCTGCTCAGTGTCTGGTTTTGATCGATTAGGAGTTGGAGTACAAGTTGGACATCGAAAAGCGCAAACAGCGAGAACGTGTAAAGGTCATCAACCAGCAGCAAATTGCCATGAAGGAGGCCATCGCTAGTAGGGTGGAGGCCATCGCTAGTACGTTGGAGGCCATCACTACTAGGGTGGAGGCCATCGCTAGTAGGTTGGAGGCCATCGCTCTTATGGGGGGTGCTGTGCTGCTGGGGCACGGTGCACTAGAGAGCGCTGGCAGGCACAGCGGGAAGAAGCGTTCAAAGAATATGTGAAGGACCTTAGTTCTCACGTAAAATTGCGGAGACTGAGATTCTCGGAAGGGATGTGTCGAGATCCATTGATTTTTGTGTGACAGCGGGGCTTCAGGAGCGCAAGCAAGTGGAAGAATTAGTTGCAAAAATTGCTGAAGAAGATGCCAAAGAAGCAAAAGCTCGATCTGACAAACAAGTTGAGTTTCTTGGTTGGCAACCTTTGACAAGCACGATGCTTTGCGATCAGCTTGAGGTAGCAGATCATTCATTTGCTTGAAATGATGCCTTACATAATTTCTACCGGGACACAACTAGCCCCCAGTCGCTGTGTAGTTGATGAGTTACATTCTGAATTTTGATCTTTGTAGCTGCTTTGCACCTTTGAATTCCAGCCATTGGAGTTCTTGACATTGCAGGTCACGGGTGATGCTGCAGCAGTTCATGCTCGAACAGCCTTTCAGACTGAGTTGGAATGCAGCTAGGGTGTTTGTTGTTTTTGGTGAATTCAAATTGTGTTTGTTCTTTTTGTTTAAAGGAAAACAAGCCCACAGGTCCAAAAGACTGGCCCAAAGGTCCCAAGAAAAATCGAGAAAGAGCGCCTAAAAATGGAATCTACATGAATCCCCCCGAAATACCAGAAGGCTTGCGAAGCGCCTCGTGATCATTGTCTTGACCCCCTGCACTTTCAAGGAAAGCCAATCAAGAAAAGATTGAAGCCGATGAGCGAGCAGAGAATGAGCGCATCGAGCAGTTCGCTAGAGACAAGCGCGAACGTGAGGAGAACGCCGGCAGCGGGCAGCCCCTGAGTTTTAGCTCTGCATAGCTCTGCGATCTTCTGCTTGTTTGCATGTACAAGACTTTTTGCCTTGAACAGCTTCACCTGGCCTGCTTTTTCCAATGAAATCACTCCCCGTCAGGAGCAAATGGAACGAGAGCGACAAGAAAAGGAGAAGGAGCCGCTTTCTGATTTTCAACTGTGTTGCTTCGAAAGTATGTCGCTTACTCCTAACTATATAACTTGACACCAGGTTTGGGAGTCAGATATTTACATGGCCCCTTGCGCCAAAAAAACTGTCCAAGACCAGGAGAAAACTCGCGTCCTCAATGCGATGCTCGGCAAGATGGAGGTCACGCTGAATCCGAATCCGTGGTTTAGAGATGCAGAGAAGCAGAGACTTCAGCTTTTAGGGTGGAGGCCATTGCAAGTAGGTTAGAGGCCATCGCATCGCTAGTAGGGTGGAGATGGTAGGTTGAATAGACTTCAGCTTTTGACCTTTTGGCGTCAACGTTTCAAGTCCCTGTGTTGGGCAGGCCAAGAACAAGGAAGCAGAGGAGAAACACCTACGCAATCCTACGTACATACACACTCATATACGCAAGACACTGCATTCTTCGGTATTGATGTGCGCTAGACACAGATCATTTGTTTTCCAAGTCACGCCTAATGCAGTTGGAGCGCAAAGCTCAAAAGATATTGAAGAAGATGGCTTCTGATTTTTCCACAAAGGTTACAAGCAGTCATTTGAAGCTTCTTCTATGCTTTTTCCATGCTTTGCTGTCAGGATCAAATCTTCCAAACTCTGAATAAATCAGCTCTCGATTTGGAATAGTTTCGTAAGGAGCTGGAGATCCTTCGAAATGAGCTGCATTTCGAAGAGCTTCAAGCAGAAGCTCGAAGACTTGATGAGATGAGGAGCGGCGGCTTGTCACAGCGTGGGTCTTCTCGCCCTGAGTTTGGAGAGGTCTCGGAGAGGTTGTACCGGTGTTCCTTCCAAGAATTGGTTTGACATGGAAAACACACAAACTTGGCAAAAGCAGATAGTTAAACCAGGGGGTTCCATTTTCCATAATATATATATAGTTATATATAGTTGGATGGTTTTGAATGTGTATTGGGTGCGCAAGGCCTTCACATCAAACACTTCATGACAGTCTGGTAAGCACACACAAGTGACATGGCATTTACATGGTATTTTAACATAAAACGGGTGACTTTTGGCAAGCCGGGTGACTTTTGACTAGCGCTGCGTTTACCTGCGGCCGCGTGACTTTCTGCAAACCCGGGTGACTAGGTACCTTCACAAGAGAACATCTCAGATTCGCATGTCGTATTTGGTTCAGAACATCGTAGGTTTGGTTTACACTTTACACCGCAGAAGAGACACACATGGAACCTGAACATGGACCTTTGGAAGACAAATTTCCTCTACATCACATCCTACGGGTCTCGCTGCTCTGTCATGCCCCTTGATGTTACGTCGGATACTTGACAGACTTTGAACAATATGACAAAGGGTCAGAATCAAGAAAGGAAGATATTCCAAGAGGTAAATCTCAACTGGAAGCTCTGCATGTACAATGACAAGAGAGTCAGCAAGGAGATAAGTCAGAACTTGCTGATGTCAGACGGTTTTCATCTCATGATCAAAATGTCAAAACATGTACAAGCAGACGGTTTTCATCTGATCGTAAACAATGGTCGTAAAAGAAACACTAATGGCTGCTAAGTCAAATCCAACTGCTAATGGATGCTTAGAGGAGCATTTAACTACTAGTAGCGTCCTTGCCAATGTCAACCTAGGATTAAGTAACCTCCCCCCTATCAATCAAGCCCAGCTCGAGCCCCAAAGACTAAACTAATTTATAACATGAATTTCCACCTTGACATTCCCCTAATAATTTTGTGTTTTCCTCACCAGACACCTCCCCCTATTAATCAAGCCCAGCGGCCCCAGACAAAAATATATAGTTTACTATGATATTTATGTATTATCTATTTTCTTTTTTGCTAGTATCATCAGGTCCAGGTCAGCATTTCATCATCTCATCTAGTAGCGGCCTTGCTACTGGTAGCGATGGCCTCCAACCCACTGCAACCTAGTAGCGATGGCCTCCAACCCAATAGCAAAGGCCTCCAACCTAGTTGCGATGGCCTCCAGCCTAATAGCGATGGCCAGCGATGGCCTCCAACCTAGTAGCGATGGTCTTCAACCTAGTAGCGATGGTCTTCAACCTAGTAGCGAGGGCCTCCAACCTAATAGCGATATGGCCTCCAATCTAGAACCTAAGAGCGATGGCCGCCAAACCTGGTAGCGATGGCCTCCAACCTAATAGCGATGTCCTCCAACCTATAGTAGCTTCTTGTATATAACTACTATAGTAATGGATGCTTTCAGGAGCATGAGCGAGAAACAACATTGTGTTCCGCCTGAAATAACCGCACCTCTCGGTGACCAGCAGGACCGACGCCGAAGCCAGAAAGACACACGCCATCACACGCCCGCATCATGAAACCAGAGCCTCTGCTGCTATTCCACAATGGTAACTGTACAGTGACATAAGCTGAAGGATATGCGCTCCTTGCATCCAGTGTGCATCCGACAAGGCAAACCCTCCGTCAGAGCGACGGATTTCGACAAAAAGTTCGACCGTCAGAAATACAAATTTGCAGCGACAAATTTTTGGCACTTGGCTGAATTCGCTCGACGAGAAAGTCTGATACACGCTCCACTTCCCCGGAAACAGAGGGAATTCAAGATCTGCATTGGCAACTGTACAGCAAGCAGACCGGGATGATTCCAAAGAAACTCCATCAAGAATACAATACTGATATAATATGATATACGGATGATATGCGTCTTTGTCACTTCAAAGCACAATGCGAAGAAACCAACCGTAACAATGATATCCAACAGCATCCAGATGTTAGTCCACAAAATCCGCTTTTGCACCATAGCCTCAGGCTTACCATCTTCAATCACTTCGCCACACCCTCGATCTGTCGTAAAAGGCCCACCGGTGAACTTCTCACGCTGCAGAGCAACAGCTTCTGACCGCAGAAGTTGGACTTAATCAAGCGGCGTTCCTTCCTGACCCAAACAAGTGCTGAGGACCTTGCAGGGTGCCAGGGCAATCTGAACTCAGGAAACGTTGCTGTCTCACCAGGTCGAATTCGATCTGTTCAATCAGCTGGGTATTCAAAGCTGTCTAATGCTCCATTCCACGTATACATATGTCATGGCTACGATCCGCACCACCCTCACTCCGGAGGATGTCAGGCACGCTCCGCGACGACTCGAAGTGAAGTGCCTACGATGTTCCTCTACAAACCCCAGTGGTTTTCAGGAAAAAACATGTTTCCATGTGGTAACAAGAAGCTACGTTCGGGGCTCCTGGCATCGCTACTAGGAGTAAGGACGCTACTAGTAACAAGATCTCTTCCAGTGGTTGTCCTCTTCTACGCATCGCTCGCGGCCTGGAGGATGCGGAAGAAGTTGGAAGACCGCGAGGACGGCGTTGTCCAGACCCTGCACTGGATGGACATGGGCGGGTCTGAGGTAGCCCGCCCATAATTAAGTAGGCGCCTACTTGATGAAGCAAGGAGGTAAGCTCCTAGGTAGGACGCAGGATAGTTCACACTTCTTCAAGAAAGTTCCCCGGCCGTGCTGAAGGTGGTGGGGGAAGTTTCCTTGAAGAAGCGCTCACACTATTAATTGGTTCTTAGATTTTTTGGAAAAAAGAGTGGTTCAAAGATTTTTGGGAGGTGTGCATCCAATCATATTATGATTGCCGAGTCACAAGCTTAGAGTGATCCCGGCAGGAAATGAAGAACGCGTACTTGGTTCAGATGCGCAGGAAGGAGGAGAAGATGATGCGCGCAAGGGAAGACGAGGTGGTTTGACTTGACATGTCTCAAAGTTTCTCATGAACCAGTGAGCAAATCCCATGTCCATATATGACCTCGATGGTTTCCATAGTGAACCGCTCCAAACCCTATGAGCAGTGTTCAGCCGTCCGAGGCGAAGATGCGGGACGAGCTGATGAAGAAGTTTGCCGAAGACGACCGCCTGGAGCAGATGGCGGAGCACAAGCGACGCATGAAGGCGAACGTCGACCATGTTGGAGCCGTCGTGGTCCAAGACTCACCCGATGTTGGAGCCCATGTTGTGGTACCCGGTGGTACCGATCAGTCGCATGAAACGACGACTGAACATCGAAGGTCACAATACGAAGCATTGTGAAACTAGCGTTGTTTCTTCAGGTTTCACAGGTACGTCAACCGTTTCAAGCGTTGCATGTCTTCTACTCGTAGCAACTTCGTGCAGCTGTGTTTCATCCTAGCCTCCTGGCAGGTGGAACAGCACAAGCGGGAGGCTGAGCGCCTGGTAGAGCTTCGACGTGAAATGTTCCATGGACAGCAAGGAGCACTGGTTGGCTGATGGAATTTGGGTCAGAAAATGACGAAGGCGGTGCCGGCCACGCCACTTCCAACGGTTAAACGGTTACGACTTGCAATCGGACTTGGCGGGATGGTACCCTTCTTCCGATGAGTCTGTTGTGTTCAGACGTGGGCATTGCAAAACAGACATAGGGTGCACACGAAGGCGACTGGTAAGAGGAAGCATGAATAGACCCACACCTACATGGGTACCTGCATCTTCTGACTTCTTCAGCCACCGCGTGTGCGTCCGTGTGTGAACTCGGACGCACACTCCGTTTGTGGTTCAACCTTACGGCGCAACACTCGATTCCGTTGTGGTTTGGAGTGGGTGAAAGTGAGGCTCCGCACCTAGAAACATACCATGCACTGCACCATCTCTTCCCACCATGGTCGGTTGAGTCGGTTTGTCTGGCTTCTTCTTCGTTACTTCATTTGTCGTCCGTCTGACGCTTGATTCACTGAGGTACGAATTAGCCCGGGCGAAGGAGAAGGAGGAGGAAGAATCCTTACGAAAGTTCGAAGATGAAAGGAAGGTGATCATTGAAGAAGAGAGACGTAGGCTGGGAATAGTGACTCATGTGAATTGTCTGTTGAGAGCATGCTTGCACTTGTGCTAGGACCTTGGTGTTTGTGCACAAACATGAAGAACCAAGCACGAAAAAGGCTTTCCATGAGGTTCTTTCAGAGTTTAGATGGATTTTGCTGAAACCGCTGAAGTGTCAACGTTGATGTGCTAGCGAAACGAACCCCTTTCTCGCCACAGGAACTGTTGATGGGCAACACTAACACCACATTAAAAGAAGGACAATCCCTTTTTCCCTGGGCCTGGTGGTATTTGGAGTGGATCAGGCATTTCCCCTAATGTTGGATGAAGCAATCCTGCGCCATTGACAAAAGGTATCGCACCAATTATCTATGTTCAGCCGTGTGCCTTTTTGGATCTTTTTGGGTGGGGCAAGCTTTTTCCCAGGATCGTCACTCCATATCACAGGCCATCGCTACTAGGGTGGAGGCCATGTGTCGTTGAGGTGAAGAGCAATGTGTCGTTTCCACTCCAGGCTGCTTCGTGAACACGGACGTGAACTGAAGAAGTTCCTGCCGCTATCTTGGGTGGGCGAGACCGACAGCCCAATGGGTGAACACCGCTTCACAGCAGGTTTCTACGAGAGCTCCGAGCACCAGTCTGGGGTCATTCCAAAGTGTCCATGCAGTTCTCCTTGGTGATTTTGTTAGTGGCATGCGACCTTGGGCAAGACATTGAAAAGGGTCTGAACCCCAAGGCCCAAGCACACTTTGGAGAGCATGGAGGAGTGCTGTTGCAAGAATTGCAAAATGAATAGCTACCCGAGTGCCTCAATGCAGTTGAACACGGCCAGCTTGAGATGTTCTAGGTGTGGATTCCTGAAAAAGTCGCTTTGTCTTCACGGATTCGTTGCAGAACTGCAAGGACTATCAGCTCCTTTTTGGTGAAGCTGATCAATTGTGACAGTGATCACGAGTTCTTGAAGCCAACATATTTTGCCCTTTCTTTGGTGCCTGGTGTCTTCCAAGACTAATAGCAATGGCCTCGAACCTAATAGTGATGGCCTCCTGGTGTCTTCCAAGATTAGATAGCGTCCTTGCTACTAGTAGTAATGCCCTTAGGAAGAAGATTTGACATTCCCAGAGCACTTCCGCCACCAAAGTCCTCACCGCTCGCAAATGGCCAAGCCAGCAGAGCCGGTGCTAGATGTATGCCGAAATGGCAGGGCTATGTCTAGGTCTCACAACAATGTAGGCAGCTACAGCTACAGAATGTGTCCTCAAATGCGGTGCAGTTGCGGTTTGTGAATGAATCATCTATGATCAAAAGCCATTTTTCCATGTTCAAAAGCCTTAGATGAGAGCATATATGATTCTGTTATATTGTCTTATATTGTGTTCATGGAATTAACCTGCTTGATTTGAGCGAGGAAGAGAATGATTTCTTGCTCGCTCGGGTTGTGTCACTCGCAGGGCGGACAGGACTGACAGCCTCAAGAAAAAGACGGATCGGGACAGATGCGGGAATACAACATGTACGACATGATCATGCAATTCTGATGTAGAAGCAGGGACATGCTGGCAATTCTGTGTGTTTTTAAGATCCCAAAGCTTTGCACAATGACTATCAATGAGTCACACAAAGGGACATCCCAAGTGGGATCAGCGCACATTCAGACAGAGTTTCTGGTTCTGATCTACGTATGAGTCCTTCGCAAGGGAAGGGCCCATGAAGTCCTTCCTCCATGGCTTGATTGATCGATGTCGATTGCTTGGTATGGCTCGGTAGCAATTTTTTGTTCCGGGTACGAACCGCGCGGAGCGCGCTTTCCCCTTTGTGGGGTCGAGAAGGAACAGGTCGTGCAGGCGGCGGGCGCTAAGTTGGCCATCCGGTACCGTGTGGCGGACGAATCACCAAGAGTATTGGGCAAAAAGGAAGACATTGACATTCACATTAACATTGGATAACATTGACATTAACATGGGGTATGTTAAGAGTTAAGACATTGGTTTGAACATGGACAGAACCGTTCTGCCAGCCATTGGACAGACATCTCATGCTCCGCGGTAACGCATGCTAAAAGAGGAAGGGTCAGGAGATGTCCTGATCGACCTGTGCTGTGACCGACATGTGAACCTAGAAGAGATAGCTTCCAACCTAAGAGCGATGGCCTCCAAGCTAGGAGCGATGGCCTCTACGATGAACATGTCGCTTCTGACCTCCTCGCCCCCATGAGGTCGCCCAAGATGGAGTGCCTTGCTCAGCCGGCTCAGCCTTTGGACCCTCGTCTCTCTTCTTCTCTTTCCTTATCTTTCCTTTGTTTCTCTGCCGCTCTGGCTAAATCTGGCTAAAGGGCTAATGCCCGGCAAGGCTGTGCTCTCGAGCCCTAAGTTCCACTCATTGGGCTTAGGCCAGCCATGCACAAGATTTGTCGGTGAAGGGATACTTGGATTGTACACATCACCATTGTTTCTTAAAAGCAGCCATCTCACCGTTTGCTTGGGTTGGATCACGGGTATCACCCCAAAGGACCAGTGGTGTGATTCATCCAACCAGGTGCTCGAAGGTTTGTCTTTCCCCCAGTTGCGTGATTTCATCTTCGATCAAATACAGTTCCACTAAGCTCCAGTTCTTGCACTGAAACGCACGCGCACGCGGGCCTAGTCGTGTCTATGTGGGCAACATTGACTGGAAGATCACATCTGCTGAACTCAAGGACACGTCCATCAATTGATATGGTGTGATGGCTCAACATGATCGGTAAATGTGGGTAGTATGGTGTATACCACCACTTCTACATTTTCTTTCTCAGGTTCAGCCGGCAAAGCCCCAACCTCTTGCACCTCGAAGAGTATCGCTGTACAAACTTAAAGGGGCAACACCAACCTCCTTTTTTCAGGGTGTCAGTTTTCCTAAACATCTAGGAACCAAATGATGGTGCGCGAGCTATCCTGCGTCCTACCTAGGAGCGAACGATTGCTAGTAGCGAATTGGTCTTCCTTAATCAAGTAGGCAGTCTCTACTCAATTAAGTAAGGTGGCAGGGCCATGGGCAAAACAATAGAGTCTCTCCAGTGCTTGTGGTCCGGGCCAAGCCGGTCGATTGGTGAGGAGCACATGGAGTCTATTGGAGAAGTTGTGAGTGCTGGGAGACTCAGTGAGTCGGACGCGAACGGGGCTCCTGGCATTACTACGAACGGATCAAGTGCCACGCTACGAACGAAGCAAGGATGCTATTTATTTTGATCCTTTAGATTGAGGAGTTGTGATACGTCGAAGAGAGTTTGAGAAGCGCCAACAAAGCCAGCAGGAGTTGTTGTTCACCGCAGGTCAGGCTTGGTGGATATTCAAGATATGCAACTATACATACACGTATATGTATATATACAAGTACATAATATAGATTAATAACTACATTTGAGATGCCGTAACTGGGCGAATCCCAGGTCATGTGGTAAAGTGGCTCTTCAGAGGTTGAGGCCCTTGAGGTCGGAGTCACAGGTACTTTCCAACCTACTAGCGATGGCCTCCATTGCCCTCTTACTTCTTGAGGCCGAAATCTTCCAAGATAGCACTGGCAGATCCAGAGGCGTTGGTCTGGTGCAGTTCACCTCCCCTGAGGAGCTCAGCACCAAGACACCAACCATGTGCTTGAGCATGAGCTTCCTCACTTTGATAGAAGTGCCTGCAGTTTTTTAGAACTTCCTGGACACACTAGGGATTCTTACGGTAGTTGCCGGGATTAAGTTTTTCTTTGGCAAATGACGACCTGACTCGGATGACTCGGCCGCCATCGCTGGGAGGATGCAAATTCCGCCATCGCCAAACTCAATGACTCCACGCTGGGTGAGCGCATGATCTTCGTCCGGGAGGACGGAGAGGTCCTTTTTGGCGTTCAGGTGGCTATCGCTATGGTTGGTTGGAGGCCATCGCTTCTAGGTTGGTGAGCCCTAAATGGTTGAGAGGTTTGAACATCTTGGATGTTTCGTCGGTCTTTCTTTCTCAACATCTATGGGTACGTTGCCACTGTTTTTTTTCTCAGCCCTGAAGGAGGTAAGTAAGTAGTAGCTAGGACAGTAGGCAGCTCCTAGGCTTGGACCCAGCAGACCCTTCAGGTTTCTGGCCTGAAGTCCTGACTCTTAAGGACTTGGGTCGATGTTTTGACAAAAAACCAACAAGTTCGTGGGGACCAATAGGAATGGTCTCCAACCTACTAGCGATGGCCTCCAAGCTAGCTCCAACCGAGCCTGGACCGTTTGTGGCCAGGACCGGAAAGATGGAAAGGGCAAAGGTTTCAAGGGCGACAAAGGAGATGGCAAAGGCAGATCCAACAGACAGTGTTCTTGGCATCCAATTTCTTGTACACTGATCCAACAGTTTCACAAGGGTTTGAAACTTTGCCGACTGAACTTGGAGATGTCAAGTTGGTTTGCAGGGAAAAAGGGTGAGAAGGGGGACGGCTATGGCAAGAGCTAC